CCCCGCTACAGACCCGAGCAATGGAGATAATAGCCCCTCCCTTCCACTGTGTGTATGCCTCCTTTTTGGCTTTCAGGCATTCCTGAACACGTGTATTAAACACGTGTATTTCACCAAATCACACCATAATTTACAGATTACCATTGCTTCTATGTATACAATCTGTTTTGGAAAGAACCTTTCATTTTCTTCACTTGAAAACATACTATTCGTCATCCCCCCAGGCAAGGAATGGTGAACTTGATCATGAAAGGCTGTGGTTAGACCCTATTTGGGTTAAAAGTACTGCTGCTTTTCCTTTTGTAAATGAAGCAGTAGAGAACTTGACCATTTTCCCAGTGTGTTACACACACATTTACTAGTTAAAAGTAGAATAGTGTGATAAGGAAATGTGCATTCTTTACCTCCTTCTGGGAAAGTAGAGTGGCTTAGAACAATTAGTATACGCGAAGGCAGTATTAATAATTCTGAAAAGAAATGGAAATAAGATGAGATATATCACGTTAGAAGCATAAAATCTGTCAGCAGTGATTCATAGATTGTTAGGGGCTGGAAGGGACTTTGCAGGTTACTGGGCCAAGCCTCCCCCACTCTAGGTAAGAAGACAACTGGGGTTAGGTGATCCCAGCGAGGTGACTGTCTAGTTTCCTCTTGAAAACCTACAGGGTAGGTGACTGCACCACCTCTGGAAGGAGTTTATTCCATAGTCTGGACACCCTGACTGTGAAGGAGTTTTTCCTGTTATTAAGCCTGAAGCAGCTTTCCAGAAGTTTGTATCCATTGGTCCTAGTCTTCCATGGGGGTACCCCAGTGAACAGTTGTTCACCGAGCTCCTGATGCACTCCTCTGATATAGTGGTAAGCCACTATCAAGTCCCCTCTCAACCTTCTCTTCTTTAGGCTAAAGAGGCCCAGGTCCCTCAGCCTTTCCTTGCATGGTTTGCCTTGCAAGTCCCTGATCACATGGGTGGCTGTTTTTTGGACCCTTTCAAGTTTTTCCATGTGCTTATTGAAGTGCAGTGTCCAGAACTGGACACAGTACTCCAACTGTGGTCTCACCAGTGCTGAGTACAGTTGGAGTATCACTTCCTTAGATTTACAAGAGATGCATCAGTTGATGCATGCCAGCATGTTGTTTGCCTTGCTGACCACCACCTCGCACTGATGGCTTATATTCATACGATGGTCAATCATTACCCCTAGGTCCCTTTCGGCTGTGGTGCAAGTCAAGCTGTCACCACTGAGCCTGTATGTATGTTGAGGGTTGTTTGCCTCCAGATGGAGCACCTTACACTTGGAAGTGTTAAACTTCATCTGGTTCTAGTCTGCCCAAACCTCGAGCCTGTCCAGGTCCGCCTGTATCTGCAACCTATCTTCTGACGTGACCACACTGCCCTATAACTGGGTGTCATCAGCAAACTTGGCCAGCAAGCTTTTCACTCCCCCATCCAAATCATTGCTAAAGATTTTGAAAAGCACCAATCCAAGCATGGACCCCTGAGGGACACCACTGGCCACTTTGTGCCAGGATGACACAGATCCATTCATGAGAACTCTCTGGGTCTTACCATGTAGCCAATTTTCCACCCAGTGAACTGTCGAGCAGCAGAGTCCACAATCTTCCAGTTTTCTCACAAGGATATTGTGGTATGCTAGATCAAAAGCCTTTTGGAAGTCTTTGTCTCCCATGTCCAGGTGGTGAGAGACCTGGTCATAGAAGGAGATGAGATTGGTAAGACAAGACCTACCCGCAACAAAGCCATGCCGAATCTCATCTTCTGCGAGCGTATCATACATAGATTCTTTAAGGAGCTTTTCCAGAATTTTCCCTGGGATAGAGGTTAGGCTGATTGGCCTATAGCTGCCTTCATCCTCTTCCTTCCCCTTCTTGAAGATGGGCACAATGATGGCCCTCTTCCAATCCTCAGGGATTTCCTCTGTGTGCCACGAATTCTGAAAGAGCTTTGCCAGGGGTTCCGCAATGACCTCAGCCAGCTCCTTCAGCACTCTCGGTCAGAATCTATTCAGTCCTGCTGACTAGCTTTTCTAGCTAGTCTAGCTTTTCTAATTGGTATTGCACCCACTCAGCATCCACTATGGGGAGGCTGTCAGTCCTGGCATGTCCCCCTATGAGCCTTATCTCACTTGACTTTCCCCTTAGTCTGGTGAAATACAGAAGCAAAGTGGGCATTCAGGAGTTCAGTTTTTTCCTGGATGTCAGTTACCAGCTGTCCCGAGGTGTTAAGTAGGGGTCCCACACTTCCATTTGTTTTCCTTCAACTGTCTACATACCTAAAGAAGGACTTCTTACTGTCCTTGACTCCTGTAGCTAACCTAAACTCCGTTGTTGCCTTGGCTTTCCTGATCATTTCCCTACAAGTGCTGGCCACTGTTGTGTACTCCTCCTTGAGGACCATCCCTCACTTCCACTGTGTGTACACCTTTTTTCTTTTTTAAGAGGACTGCAATGCCCCTTCTAAGCCAGGAGGGCTTGCCAGCCCTTCTGCTGCCTTTCCTCTTTGCAGGAACAGTTTTCTTTTGTGCTTTGAGGATCGTATCCTTGAGCAACAACCACTCTTCATGCACCCCATAAGAAGCCATCTTATCTTTAAAAAAAATGCATATGAAGGGATGATCAGCAGCTGTTCCCTGCCTGTTTTTCTCATTTTATTTTCCTTGGGAACTGATAATCCATGAACATCTTATACCACATACGCCATTAAATTCATTGTGTTAAGATTGATGGACAAATTGTTAGTTATAACTAAAAAGTTATAAAATGCTCAGTAGATTAATACTACCTGCATACTTGGTAAACTGCCCTGAGCAGGGGTTGGACTAATATGATCCTAATCCAGCTCTACTTTTTTATGATTTTATAAGCTATGAATCAGCCATTGAAAAACACAATGGGGGAATTCTAAAAGAAGTTCTGATCATCTTCCTGGTTTTACCTGCTGTTTGGTGATGTTGCTTTCCCTTTCTAGCCAGGCTTGAGTATGTTCAGAGCAACATATCCCTTCCAACTAAATTTTAAGTCCTTGCTCCACACCTTACAGGCACTAAAGATCCACAGTGAAAGAACTGACATAAGGTAAAGCAAGGTAGAACCTCAGGGCATTTTTATGCATGCAAGAGCCACAGGACTGGGAGCTTTGAAAAATGCCTGGTGCTGCGATGCTTGCAGTTGTATAAGCAGCAAAATATGCATCAGCAATGAGAAAATGGTGGCAGCACGCTTTTGAATGAAAACATATCGGAAGTAGTTTAGTTCAAAAGCACACCACTGCCATTTTCTGTGCGCTGATGTGCATTTGAACACTTATACAACTGCACGTGGCAAAGCACGGTTTACCTCAGCTTGTGTGCAGAGCAGACTCAATCAATCAAGTCTGCTCAGTAGTGGTTGATCTCCAGCGTGCAGGATAGAAAAGTATGTGTATAAATGCCCAAGACTGGCTGATCCAGAGAATAACCATTTAGTCTCTAAGATGCAACCCTGCCCTGACTTCAGACTAACGTAGCTAGTCACTGTTCTACTAATGAAAGAACAGCGACTTAAGTTTTTTAACATGGGCAAAGGAACATATTTTTCCCTAACCTTGCCCATCATCAGCTGAACAACTGAAGCATTTTTGCTCTAATATTCCAAAAAATAATTAGCCTGAGGCAGAAATCTTGCATGGGAAATTTGTCTGAACAGTTGAAATTTTCTCAGTTACAAAATGACAGGCAACTGCAAGCACTCCCTTATAATGGAAACTATGGGTCTACGCACGTGCTCTGATGTGTTCTAATTTGAATGTGTCAGAGTAGATGCGATTAATCTAATTAGAACATTCTAGCATACTGCAGCGTCCCACATATTCAGCATCCCACACAGGGAAGCCACCAACACATCACCAGAATATAGGATGGCCCCTTGGCCAATCAGCGGTGAGGGGCGGGGATGCTGCCTCCTTGGCCAATCAGCAGTAAAGAATGGGGCCAACAGGGTCCTTGGCCAATCAGCAGCAAGGAGCAGAGCCACCACCTGCCTCCCTCACTGCCTGGCTTGGAAACCCTTTCATCCTGGCTGTGCACTACCCTATCTCTAGGCACAATAGGATCATGCGGACAAATGATGGACTTGTATTTCCACCAAACAACTGAAAAGACTTTTTGTTGTCTTTAGAAACAGACAGGGGACAAGGGGCTTAAAAACAGGACAGTCTGGTATAAAACAGGACCATCCTAGTCTCATGTTTCAAAATGGCAGTGGGGGCACCTTAACTAAAACTCATTGAACAAGCATTAGTTAAAGCGCTTCACAGCCATTTTGAAATGGGGGATGTTGAATACGTGTAATGCTGCAGTGTTTTAATTAGAGTGGCTCTCCAGGAGCCAATCTAATTAAAATGTCCCCTTCCTACCCCGAAGCACGTGTATGGACACCCAAAATCTTACCTTTAGGCGCTCCTACCATCTCCACCCACAGTAAGAGATTAAAAACTAATCAGACAGATAAGATTTGAATAGAAGTATTATATGGAAAATTGGCAAAAGTGAATTTCTTTTGTAACTTCCTTATTCCAACTTGTTTACATCTTTTGTTTAGAATCTAAATTCTGTGAAGCAGAGACTTGTCCTAGGTATACAAAATACCCTATCATGTTTTGTTCCCTATATAAATTATAAACTAAAATAGGGAGGAAAAACATTTTTATTCAATGGGATGGCTGTGTTCTTTTAAATTGATTTATAATCAACACAAACTCTGGAAACTCCTGGGAAACAGACAGTTGCTAATTTTATCTATTGTTTATTGACATTTTGCAGTCTACCAAAACATTGTTTTCTTTTTCTTTTTGGTAACTGACACAGCCTGGAAGGAGAATGGAAAGAGGGATATTTTAATGTGGAAAATAAAACAATATTTTGTTTTGTTTTAATTTGCACAAGTTCAAAGAATTAAAGCTAAAATATTCTCTCAGCAGAAAAAAAATCATTTTATTTTTTAAAGCTTTTGATTTGTGGCAGGACCACATGTAATCCCAACCTTGTCAACAAGAAATCAAAGAGTTTGGACTGAAACAAAAGTGCTGAAATGAATCAAACTGCAGAAAATTCAGGCTTTAAAAGGTTTTTTTACAGGTGTCATTAAGATGTAGGAAGTAAATAATAAAATATGTTCGAGAAAAAAGTAAACTACTATAATTCAGAATAGGCCATTTATTAAATGTTAAACAAATACGTAAATTATAAAATTATATTGTTTCAAAAGAAACATCTTACTTTTTTAGCTAGACTGAACTTCCACATAGGTCCTTGAGGAGGAAGTAGGCAGAATCTACTCCTTTTGAATCTCCCTTATGAGGTAGAGAAGCACTCATTAACTCCAAGAGTACACCTCAGGCCTCATTGGCTAAACTGCACCTGAATAAATTTTCAGCAAAAGAGAACTCCTGAATTGTAAATGTCCTGCCTTACCTTTCAATTCGTGAAACTAGACATTAACATAAGAGTGAAAGTTACTATAACAAATTATTGTCAAATTCACAAAGAAAACAAAATAGAACAACAGAACTGAAATAATTCTTCCTCTGGTCTCTTCCAGCCTTAAGGTAATAATCTTGGATGTTACTTGTAACTAGGTGTAAATATGTTTTGACAAAGAGTTCAATGCCAATGCCTTTTTTAAAAAACAATCAGCCATCAGTAATGCTGAAGTAGAAAGCCAAAACACATCCCATTTTTATCAGGGAGTTACCCACAAAGACAAAAGAAGTAGTTGGCTTCCCACAACTCCCTATTAATGCTGTTGTCCGTTCCTCTTTCCCACAGGAGCCATGCATCTTAAAGGATTTAACCCAGCTCCATGGGATGGAAAAAAATGTGTGACACACTCTGCATAACATCTAATTTTCTGTTTTGAAACATACATATTTATTTTCCTCTACTGCTACAGAAATCATCAAGTGGAGCCCCCACAATACCCAGAGTCTGAAAATGGGGCCTCTGCTCCGAGTCTTTCATCATTAACATATCAAGCACTGTCCATCTCATGGCCATTTTCTCAATGGGCATGTGGACTTCAGGCTAATAGGCCCATTCTTCTTTTCCCAAATACATTCCAGAGTAGATTTGTTAGCCAGCACTGGACAACTGTAAGAAGGCTGCAGGGACACAGGGGAAAAAGTTCATCCTATAATATCCTGTCGAATGAGACTATCATATTTGCGCTAGCAAATGAGCAACAAATGAGTTGGATCAGAACTCCAAATTTGGGGAGGAAGCAGCCTTGAGTTGTTAGCCAAATGCTGAATTAAACATTATAGGTGGAATTCCCCCTGAAGAATGAGCAGACTCCGTGGCTGCACAGCAAGGGAGAAAAGTATAGCTTTTCTGCCCAAGTCACAGTGCCAGTTTTTCGCTGGCCAAGATCTCTAATACACCTGTATAAGATCTGTATACTGTATAATACTAATGCTGAACTATTGAGCCTTGAGTAGTTAAAATACTATTTGCATTTGTCTCTCTCAAAATAAATAAAGGGGAATATTATTATTATAATACTGATTTCCATTATATAAAGCAGATGCTTCTGTTTCAAATTTGCTTCAGAAGAATAACTTGGCATATAATCACATGTGGAGACCATCTATGAGTATGACAGTAATGAGTATAATTTATATTAAAACGAAAGTTTTTTTTTTAAATGGAAAACTATTGCTAACAATATGGTGCGATAGACAATAAGCCTTGTTTTCACCGTAACAATTAGTCCGTTAGCATAATTCATACACTACAGTTGCTCTTCACTTTGCCCAAACACCGGACAGGCAGCTTCATACTTTTTCTTCAGGCCTTTCAAGTATATTCGCAAGCTGTCTGGATCCAGTCGAGAGTTCCTGGCAGTCTGAATAAGCCTTGTTGCCAGATGATAAACAGCCCTCTGTCTTAATGTCTCGGGAGTGCTTCTTTGTCTTTGCTGTTCTTGAAAATACACACACAGCCTTTAAAATGTGAATTTCAACATTCACTTATTAAAATAGTAATGTTAGCTCTTTTTGTCTGTTCCATTTCTACTGAGCTGATCTACCATTTGAATTTAAATCTGTAGTAGTAACTAGTACCTCCAAACCATAATGAAAAAACAGTTTTGTACTTGATGGTGCTCTATAAACCCCTTCGATCTGCTTCCAAAAATACAAAATCTAGGTTATGAAACTAACACAAGAATTACATGGGAAATCAATTTGGAATCCATATTATGAACAGTTTCTTAATATACAAGTCTCTGATAAGAAGTTATAAATGTTATTTAATAACAGATTTTTTTTTAACACTTCATGGAATGAAGATTAACTTCCTGAAAATATAAAGAATCATCCCCAGAGGTGGTGTCTTGGGCAAACTCTACAGAGGTGGGGGAGAAAGGAGACAGGATGGGGACAGCACTGGAGGAATGTGGGGGGTTGGGCACAGGAGTCTTACCCATGCCAGGGATGCATAAACAGCCACCCGCAGTTGCTGCTCTTACAGTAGCAGGACAGAAGCTGTGCATCTAGCTGCTGCAAAGCCATAGGGCTGCTTTTGCTGCCAGGTTGTAGACAGGGTTTTGGGGCGATTCCCTCCTAAGTGCATGCTGTGCTTGCCCACCCCTAGTTATGCCACTGATTATCTCTACCTTTCCCATAATGACTTTTATTGACGTTAGCTACAAGTAACATTGATCTTCTTGAAAAATTCTCAGTGATAATACTATAACTTCCCCATGAAGATCTTATTTCTTACATGTGCCATACAGATGTAGTTCTGTAACACATTTAAGAAAATATAAATAGTTAAAAAAAACCTAGATAGTGCGCTAGACCT